GTAGGGAAAAATCCAATTGAAGAAGTTTTAGCTACCTATAGGGAAGGAGGTCTAGTGCATGCAGGAACGAAGTCCTGCTCTGGTAGGAAGGGAGTCAGGTGCTGAAAGATTGTTTATCTCTAACAAAAAGGAGTTTATGCAACTCTTGAAGGATGGGAAGGAATCCCTGTGACTCTAGAAGGATCCCTATATGTCGGTATCCTGTGATTCATCTCCCGCGAATCGAATGAAACTGAGACTGACAGGCCGACAAGGCTCCGATACCATGTAGAATTTAGTTGGGGAGGAAAATTACTTGATTTATTATTCATAAATTGGGTGTGTGTGAGTGTGTGTGTGTGTGTCTAGAGAAACAAATCCCTCCCTATCTACAAATATACCAAATATAACAAATAAATATATCTCCCCTAAATTAGAAATTAGAAAAGGAAATAATTCTGAATAAAAAATAGAATAACATAAAATAGGAAGGGAATAAACCAATCAAAGATTTCCTAAAATATCCCAATTAAATCCTCAAAGATTTGGAGGTGGCCAGTCAGTCTGAAAGAGGGAAACAACTTCACAGTTATCAATAACTAAAAATATTAACAGCCACAATTGCAAAGATATAGATAAAAATTTAAATAAAAAGCAAGCAATAGGATCACTGAGGTATCCACGTATCAAAATTTATGATATCTGAAGTTCCACACAAATCACCAATAGCTTACAAAAAAAGTAAATGACATCAAATACACTTGTAAAGACAAACCTCCATGACTTTATCAAGGGCAAGCCTTCGAACCAAAGATGAGTGCATTTGCAGCCGATAATTCATATCCTAAGTAATCATTAAAAGAATACATGTAAGTATGCAAAGGAATATCAAAGCAACACAGTCAAATTGTAGCAGGAAAATAAAGTTAAATGGTAGGACAATATCATCAAATCAAAGCAAAAGAGAATTGGATGTATGAAGTGGTAGCAGACAGTTTAGTGGACATTCTAAATTATACTTAATGCAATGCAACTAATTCATTGGTTGTAACAGTAAACTATAAACGGAAAAGAGTGTTACGCAAAAAAAAACCTCTCCATAAACATGATGGACACTATGGCTCACTAAACGAAGCTATACCTTCAATTTAGCATCATATTTCAAGAAAAGGACAAATGATGGAATACTATTGATAAAAGAATCATCAACAGCAGCGATACCCTTTTTCCCAACCATATAAAATTCACTTTACAATCCTTGTTCCCCTCAAAAGAATTCTCATAAGGTGGTAAATCTAGTTTAGGCAAGTACATTTATAAGACTTCTATCAAGTCGCCTACAACTCACCACTTTTTCTTCCTATTCATTGTACATTAATTCCCATGTCCTTCTTATTTGCACTGAATATATCGGTCATTTTATATGATCAAACCACCTAAATATATTGTTCACTATTGTCTTAAATAGAAGCTACTCCCACCACCCCGTAATATAATCATTTCTCAGTCTATTGCTCCTATATTTGTCACGCATTCATCTTAACATAACATTCTCCTTTTATATCAATCGCCTTGTTGTTTACCAACATTTCATTCCTATAGCCTAATTGGATCAATTGCATTTCTATAAAGTTTGCATCTCTCTAATAAGATAGCTGAATTAACTGCATTTCTATTAAATTTACATTTAAGTGTCAATGATGTTTTCTTATCCATATTACTATTCATTTACTTCATCATTTAAATTACCGAGCCTTAACTCTAAAATTTATGACGACATATATATATATATTTATATCCCTGCTTCTGTAAAATAGATCCAATATACTTAAACCAGTTAAATCTACTTTATCTTCTAATATTGTAGTTAATAATTATTAGCAAAGCACTTGATATTATATACTCTATATTTTTTTCTACTAATCATATGTGATTTATCTTCTAACATTTTTTTTCTGTCCTTCTAACATTCCATATAAAAAGCCGACAATGAATTATGTTTGCAAAGCTTCTTTTAAATTGTGTGACTAATATAAATGGAGAACCCTGGATCAAATCGTGAAGGTGAAGTGTATTCAGAATATGTGTTTTTTTTTTTTTTTCATACTCAAGGAAGAAGTCTTGCTACGCCCAGTATAACAGAAGACTGACATTGCATTACTTCAACCTCCATTTTTAGTGAGCTTTCGATAAAGCAACAAATTAAAGCCAACAAAGAATGAAACCCCATCGGCCTTCCTCTCAAGTCTTGCACTATTAATCAAAAAACTCGAACCCACTGATTGTTCATCCACTTTAATAGAAAGATTCATTTATGAAAATCCGACTGGTGTACACTGAGAGTTCAGATGAAAACTGACGGGAAGGATGAGCTGAAGCTCAGCTAAATGTGACATTTGAACAAACCTTCTTCGTCACCTGTAAAGATAGCTTCTCCCAAAGAAAAACAAAAACAAAGGAGTGAAATCCACCATGAAGCAAACGTTCCTGATCCCCAAAACAATCTATATGCTTTAAAAAACACGAAATTCAGTTCAAGACAGGGAAAGCAGTCACATCGCTCTAAAACTCTTGGACATACACGATCAAGTAAGATCCTAGATCCTAACACATGACAACTTTTAAGCCGTAAAAGCCAGGACACGCGATGGCTCGAACAAAACACGATCGCGCAAAGCAATCTCAACATTCAAAAAGAAATCCCTCGACACCAAGTGAAGAATACTATCGCGCTGTGGGGATTGATCACCTGGAGAGAGTCGATGCGCCTGCTCTCCAGGAGGTCGTTAATGTTGCCATCGGGGTAATGCCAAGATTCCATCGGAATGAGAGTAATCCAGAGAATCAAAGTTCAAGCCCTAACAATATATACTTTCGTCGCCCCTCTCGCCGCTCCCTCCCTGTCCCTCCGCTTTTGTCCGCGAAGTTACCGAGAAATTGGCCGCAATTGCTCTTTTTATTACTACAATTTTTTGACTCACAGTGGGCTCGAGGGAGTCCAGAGGATGCTCTTCACTCCATTTTCTCAGATACACCGGCCCATTATGGTCGTCTTCAATACCTTCAGAAGAACGAAAACAAATTCTTCACTATACATGAAATACGTCTAATACTTTTGGTATGAATTTTAAATACATTGCTTAGTTAAATTGAAATGTTCACATTCTATCTTCATTTTTAGCATTTTGACTCTTTTATGTACTAAATTTGAATTTATTAAATCTAATTGCAGGGCGAATTTAAGAATTTACTCTGTGGTCGCTCGGGTGCTCTATCTCTGTCGCAAAGGTTTGATGAATCTGAATTTACTGAATTCGATACATGTTATTTAACATAAAATTAGGTTGAAGCGGAACACCACCTTCATTATATACATTAAATGTTCTTTTTTTTTTACATGTTAGATTGTTTTTGTACAATGAATGTTGAAGTATATCTATTAATATTACTTAAATTGAATTAATCTCATTCATGATTGTGTAACATTAATTTTAGAGGGATTTTATTGTATGTCTATCTCAATGTATCAACTTTATTTAGATTTTATTTTATATTATTATTTTTGTAAATTATAGATCAAATTTTTTTTTAAACAAAAATATAATAAAAGGTATGAATGGATGTTCAATCTTAACTTGTATTTTCGCGAGAACATCCTTGAGTCAGAATCGAGAGAAGCAAAAGGAAGAGGTGGAGAGTGGAGGGCACGGTAGAGTCCCTCCTTCATTCCTCTTGAGACTGTCTATTTAAAGGGGTCTAATTAGTACAATTTAGGAAGATAGGAACCGTTATAGTAAATGTCCTTAATAGAATTAATGCGTATAATTTAAATTCATTATCGTTATAACATTGACAGAGAATAACGGTTGACAATAATTATTAGTTTAACTAAATGTTGTCAGTCAATGGGTCGCAGATCATATTGATTGGTCGTCTCATATCCACCTATGCCGAGGGGGCATAATCAATTATTCAGAATATTATATTCTGAATGAAACAAGGTTTAATAAATAAATTTCATCATAATTTTGTATTTAAACCATACATATTCGGGATTTAAGAAAAAATCATACTACATATAGCGAATTAATGGGGATCTCAGAATCGAATGCAGATTTTCATTCCAAAATAAAGGCATGTATTTTTTTTTTCCCGGAAACATTTTTTTAAAAAGGAAAATAAAAAAAATTGAAAAAACAAATTATTTATTGTAAATCTTAGGGTTGGAGACGAGTAAAAATTTTACAAATATTGTAAATTAATGATTGAGCACATAATTATGTTCAAAGCATTAAATTTATTGTAAAGTCACTTAATTTTATATCAATTTGAATTTACATACAAGCTGCACAATTCTTATAAATTTAAATATCACAACTAAACTTTCATATTTATTTTAGAATATTTTGGTGACTTAAATATATATATTAATATATAGTGATATTTTTTTTATGTGATATTAAATATGTGAGTGCTATAGGTGGAAATATTGAAGTTTAGGGTTAGATATGTGATTACATAAGAATTATATGATGTGTAGGTAAATGTCACTTAATTCAAAGATTTGCACAAAATTTATTTGACTAAACTTGAAATTGACTTGATATCTGGCATAAATATACATGCACCTTGACAAGTACATACAAATATAATTATATTATATGTAGTTAGTTCAAGAAACAATGTACTAAAACTTGTAAATAAACTTAATAAAAATGATTTTTATATAAAATTTAGATCTTTTTTTCTTTTAATTTAACATGAACTCCTTTTGAAGGTTGTTTAGGTGATTTTGGGTGACTGTGTAAAGGAGATTAGTTGCCTCTTCCATTGACAAATACATGTTGCTTTGGTCGACCGATCGACTGATGGGTCAATCTGTTTCGTCCGTTGAGTCGTGGCACACTTGCTGTTTGACTCAAATTTTAAAGGATTTGTCTCGTTTGTCTGGTCAATTTGTTGTTTAGGTCAAATCTCCCATCTCGTAAGGACTAGGGCGGATCTTGTCATTGCTTATATGGGTCATCCGACAATACTCATTGTTGGGATGATTTTTGCCTCCCCCTTGGAAAATCTTGTCGTTACCGAGTAAGAAAACATCTCCAGAGCTTTGGCCTTATCCCAGGTTTAGAGACGTGGTTTCCCATGCTTGGCGTTGGATTGTTGGTCAATCGTTGGCCCTGGAGGGAAGCTCCGTATTCTCGGTCGTTCGTTCTCTTTGAAATTCATGTCGGTAATTATAGTGTATAGATATTAGTTCCCCAAGTGTTCCTGCTCATTCGTTGTGACAATTGCGATAACGACAGATAAATTATTAGTTAATCATATCACTGAAAAAAAAAAGAATTTAATAATTTTTTTCTCCCTTCATCTTCGTGGCCTGTGGGTCTTATAAATAAGGCCAAGAATTAGGATATTTATATGTTGTTGACATTTTCTGAACTATTGAGTAGGCATCATGTTGCGTGATATGAGCAAAAAGACGGTTGACCCAACCCTAATGGCATTGACGGGATTTCCACATGTTCCAGTGTTTATCCTTAAAAGGAAAAAGGTGGTTGGGAGAGAGGGTGGCGAGAGATAGCAGGTCCTGAACCGACCAATCATCTTGTTTCTTCTAAGGGGCTCGAAGGCCAGCCGCCGAAGAAGCTTCTCCTGAAACCCATGGATCCTAGTGAACCCGTCAACCTTGTCCAGGGAAAAGTGGGTGATGATCGCAGCAATCCCTGGAGGAAAGAAATGGAGGCATCCTATCGAAACAGGAAGGTCTTCCCATGACTGCTTCGAAACTTGAGAGGCTCATGGGTATGTAAGAAATTCCTTTTGATTTTTGTTGACATTCCTTTTAAATGTAGATGTGTCGATCTGGGTAGAGGATTTTGAAGGCGGCAGGCCGTCAAGAGGTGTTGCTGACTTGATTCTTTTTGCGACTGTCTGATCCCAATTTTCTATATATATAGATGTAAAATACAATGTATACGATTGTATGATTAATTTTCTTCATAATTATTCTTAATTTGCAACAAAGCCAAAAACTTTATCTAAAGCAAAAGTTAAGTAAATCTTTTATTATGAATCAAATAAAAATGCGGTTATAATATTTCAATATGGGATACTACGCAAGTATACGTATCGTTATCAAGTAATATAAAACTTTCTGATTAAATCTCAAATATCGAACCCACAGGGAGGACAAAATTTAGATAATAAATGTTACTTAGCAATATATTCTTACTTAGACTTAAGATGTTAAAATAAGAATGAAAGTTTAATTCTTTTTTTTAATTTTTGATAATTGAAAATAAAATAAGCAAGTAATTAACTTAACTAAAATACTTGCAAGATGAAGACAATATTAATAAAATATCTTTTACTTTATTATGAATCAGTGATAAATATAGAAATTTTGTTGTGAAAGTATGTTAAATGTGTTGTGCCAAAAAGGAGCAATAATATTATTTACCCCTACTAGAGATGTTATAAAAAACATTGGCTAATCTATAGTTTGAATAGTCTTGAAGAATGGCTAGGTGACCGACTATTTTCTTTTCGTAAATCGACAATTACAAAAATTTGATGGCGCTACTAGAAGATTTAAATTCCATCAACAGTGTCAAAATCTTGACTGCGACTTTATATATATGTGTTTGATTTAATAAATATGTATAGATATAATATTCGATAAAGTCAAAGTCGAATTTGTCAACGCAAGTATACGTATCGCTCAAGTAATATAGGGCTCTAATGGAGTCCTAGTTATCGATCCCACAGGGAGAAATAGAATACTACCGAACTAAGGCTTAATAAAAGGTAATACTTCAACTACAACAACGGCATTCAATTTGCTTATCTGTCACTAATAGGCAATTGAAATAAGTAGATAATTTAGATAACTAATAAATAACTAATGATAGAAAGTAGGGTTTAATTGTGATATTTAATATATAAGAAAACACCCTTCTCCTTGTCAAGAAATTATAGTGAATGGATAAAATGAATTAGTTCAATTTATATTGTGTCAAATAGGAGCATACATGTTCTTTACCCTTTGGTCCAGGCATAAAGAACATTGACTAATCCTATGCTTGGTTACTGATTCTGCGG